ATTACTCATGTTGACTCATGTTTACATATATTCAGGAGAGACCAAGGCAATACACAGCACCTTATTAAATGAAAGCAACAGCATCAGCTGAACTGCCATACTCACTCGTACCCAAGGATGTTTCAGACTAGTATCCCATCTATGCAAGATGCCAGTACTAAAATATTTTAGAGGAAAACAAAAAAAAAATCCCCACAGAGTAGGCATATTCCATTAAAGTCTACTCATTATCCTCATTGTCTTAACCTGGGAACAAAACCTCCATGCTTCATACTTTCTGGGGCAGGTTTTTTTTGCATTAACTGCTGTAACTCAGTATATTCTTATTATTCAAAACATCCATCCATATTATCTCCAAATCTTGTAAACTCCTAGCCTCACTGACATCATGTGGCGAGTTCTACGCTCCAATGATGCCTTATTTGAAGATTTCACTCTCAGCCTTGAATTTCCCAGTCTACTTTCTGCATACTTATTTCCTTCTTAAAATGTATTCGTCTCCTCATTTACCTCTTTAGGAAAACAACTCAAGAGTTCTACAAACTTCTGCTCATTTCTTTTACCTTTCCGTGAGCTTCCTGCCCTTAAATTGTAAGGTATCTTTTTTTCCAGTAAGGAGGCTGCCACTGTACAACAGTACCCTCATTCGAGATATCTCACGATGTATGCATGGCATTACGAATATAAATAAAGGAAAATAAGAATATTCCTCCTAAATGGTTTGATTAGTCCATCCATCAAATTATCAGAAATAAATACTTTATTTTTAGTTAGAATCTAGTTTTTAACTTTAAGTAACATTTATAGTAATAAGTAATGAGTACACACTATTTATAAGAACAGAGCTAAGCACCTTCAGGCAAACCAAGTTGTTGATCCACTGAACTCAGAATGACACAATAATTTGCAAGCACAAAACAAAGATCAAATTCTTTAAGAAGCCATGTTGTTCACAATGAAATTCATATTAACAAAATCAAGAAAAGTCAGTATTCAGTATACTCTCTGAACCTCTTTGAACACTTGAGAAGACATTTGAGTTGATCAGATCTTTTCTCCCCACAATTCAGCAAGCATTCAAAAATAGTTTGCCAACTTAAAAAATAAAGATTGGAGTTCCCCAATTCTCACACTTGCAACAGAGAATTAAATGAAAGAATATTCAACTCTACATGTTAACACTATGCTAACAATGAAGCAAATATTAAATAAATGTGTCTAGACTAGTGATATTATTTCAGAGCTTCCTCCCCAAACATGATGTATCATCAACCCTTTTATGTCTCTGCTAGGGAAACGGTAGCTGTACTGATCACTTCAGCTTGAAATGATTATACAAAAAATATGTTTAAGTTCTATTATATTAAGGAAGCATAAGAAAAAAGGCTGGAAAATGGCCAATTTGTATACTTACTTCAACAGGTAATTCATCTTTTATTTCAACACTGCTTGGCTTGTTATCCTTTCCATTTTTCTGACTGTCATCATCAGATATGATTAGAGGGCATGAAGAAGAGGACAATACAGAAGATGAACTTTCTGTATCTGTATCACTGCATAGGACGAAGACAAGAGAGTTATAAACGTGTAAGAAAATTCCCTTACCACAGTTAGAAGGATATATTAAAATTACCTGTTAATTCTCAGAAAAGTGAGGGTATAGACCAGTGATTCTTACTGAGGATGCTGCAGCACTACGGTGCCTTGAGATCCTTTCAAGGGTTAGCAGTTCTCTATGCAAACAAGATAAACCCAGAGATTTCAAATAGGAATCCATAGGGTTAAAGATGTTCTGATCCGGTCTGAGCTTTTTGAGTACTTTGCAACAGAAAACCTGCTCAATTATTTTTCCCCAGTCAAAAAAAAAAAAAAGCACCCCCAAAAAACAGTGAAAACCAAGGGCTAACATTTTTGGAGAACTGCCTCAAGTCTAACAAGAGGTACCTCAAATCCAAAAAAGGCTGAGAACCGCTGAGGCAGATGGATGCAACAACTTTATCGGTATCTGAGGACACTACTGTAAGCTTATACAATACATCTGTTACATCATGCAGCAATCAATGCAAGCAAAACCACTTAAACAGCAAAATTTTTAACTCTACTTCTTCAGGGTCAAAGTAAGGATGAGTTAGTTCACATGCTTCACTACAGGATCTCCCAGGCATAACAATTCCAGCCTAGCAGCTGATGCGCACTGCTGAACAGCCCTTTTTTCACATGGCTAAAACATATATTGCTCCATAGGGCTGTGCAACGCTTTGGTCCCCGATTTGATTCTGCGGACATTTGGCCCGATTCGGTGGCTGAATCAAATCAAAGGACCCTTTAATCTCTCCAAATTGAATCCGAACCCTCCAAATCAATTTGGAGAGATTCAGAAAGATTAGGAGATTTGGACATAGAGACAGCTTTAAATGCTTTTTCTACATACCTCTAGGTAGCAGGGGCTCGTGAGTGCTGGGGCACATGGAGCATCCCACAGAAGTGCAAGGGGTGCCCCAGCGTACTTGGCAACAGACCCAGAAGTGCGCCCTCCCAACTCGGCAACTGGTGCCTCCTGGGTCTGTGGGGGGCACCCAGGGTCCCCCCACAGCCAATCACTGAGCCAGGGAGGTGCAGGGGGCCCCCCCAGCATGCTCCCCGGCAGACCCACAAGTGTACTGGAAGTACTTCCAGTCCACTTCTGGGTTCACCACTGAGCACATGGAGGGCCCCCTGCACTCCTGTGGGACACTCCATGCATCCCAGCATCGCAGCGATCCAAATCGGAATCGAATAGGGCCCCCTTTACGCACCCCTATTGGTCCACACTAGTGGTTCTCAACCCATTTTAGCCTCAAGGCACCCCTTGCTGACTTGCTAGTTAGATTTCATAGATTTCTAGGGTCGGAAGGGACCTAGTAAATCATCAAGTCCGACTCCCTGCCCGAGGCAGGAAAGAGCTGGGTTTAAGTAACCCCAGCTAGGTGCTTGTCTACTCTCTTCCTGAATACCTCCAAGGTAGGGGAAAGTACCACCTCTCTTGGAAGCCTATTCCATAGATCACAGCTCTGAAGCAGGGCATCTTTAGACAATTTTTTTCTTTAAATGTCAACTCAGCTCCTTGGGTATTAAAGCAGCTCTGGTGAGGCGGACAACTCGGAAAGGCTGCACCAGGTCAGAAGGGTTCTGACACTACAGATTCCTATTGGAAAGCCCTGGATTTACCTGCTGAATCACATATAGAGTTTTGCACACTTACCCATGCTAACGCTGGCTGCATCCTGCATCCCCCTTGAAAAGATCTCCCAACAACCCAGGGTGGCCTGGGCACAAGTGCTGGCCTATATCCTAAAACTAGCCTAGCCGCAGTTTTGGAGGAAAAAGAATCCTGTTTCTGCCATGCTGAATCCATTGGTTTGTAAACAGATAAAACAGAAATAAACTGGATTTATCACCATTTCCTTTAAATAGCTACCTGGAGAGACTACAACCTCTGCACTGAGTAACAACAAAGAACGGGCGTTTCTGCAAGTGTGGGAATCGCAGAACTGTTCTTCGTACTTCATGCAGTGAAATCGCTGCCACGTGGCAGGTGACAGGGACAGGAGATGCCTGCGGAAACAACCGGCTACACCAGTACTGCGAAGAAGCTTCAGAAGTAAATGGAGAATCCACTCCAGTATTGTCAACTATACGATAATTATCCTATTTGTACACTAAATATCAACCCTCGTACGCTGTATGACCAATAACAGTAAAAGTGTTCATAACGTATGATAATTTTTGAGGCAGCTAATTGATGCAGCATCTGCAAAACCTAAGTCACTCTCAGAGATTCTGAACCGACTTCTGGGTTTTTGGGGTTTTTTTGTTTTGTTTTAATATTTCATGCTCCCAATCAAATCAGCCAAATCAGTTCCAATTCATATTAAGTGAGCAGAACTCAATCATTCCAAAAACCGTATCGACTGAGCAGGCAGAACTCAATCTTTCTAAGCACTATGTATGGTGCTTCAACCAGCAAGCATCCTTCCTCCCAGGCTCTTACCCTGCCACTTCAGATACACAGAGGATGCCTTGGGGTTCAGATGCGCCCCCACACTTTATCTTAGCCAATCATAAGGATGGGTTAGTACGGGGGGGGTTGTTTGTTCATTTTTTTAATTACGTGTTTTCATATCCCAAGTCAAATCAGCCAAATCAATTCCAAATCTGTGAGTCAGTTAAGAACCACTGACTGGCCCTACTACTAGCAAACATCTTCCACTCCTGCCTGGGGCTTCAGATATTTCCAAATCCTTTGGCGGGCATCCTATGTCCAGGCCCAAGCACAGAGGCTTGGGGTTCAGATGCCGCTGAGTTTTGCCTGCCCTCAGCTGTACAGCAAGCTAGGGAGGAATCTCCCATTTCCATAAAGTTGGTATATAACCAAGATCTTCCCACCAGAAGTAAAAGTGGGAGGCATCACCTCGGCCACAGCACTACCCCCTGCCAGACCAGTGGCTTTCCGCTGCCAGTAGGAAAACAGTGCAGTTGCTGTCAGCACTTCCTTATCGCTGCTTGCCTCAAAATAAAGAAACACTTCAACTATGACGACTCAGCTCTCACTCCCTAGGGACTTACAATGATCAATATAAAGTAAATAAGATGTATTCCTATGCTTTTTCCCGCTTTCTGCATGATTACTGCATGCTTTCCTGAATGCTTATTTTTGGTGCACAAAAGTTTTCCAGCAAAAAGATACTGTTGAGCTTCTAAAATGATCATGTCATGTTTAAGACCTGGCAAAGCTGGCCCGCTCCTAGGCCAGGCTGGACTTGAGAGGCTCCCCAGACACGAGGCGCCGGCCGGCCGGTCAGACCCCAGGAGCGGTCCTGCAGGGGAGGTATCCAAGCCCCCACGGATGTCGCACCCCGTGACAGCAGCTCGGAGCCCCGCGCCCAGGGAGGAGGGTACGAGGCGCCGCCCCACGCACCT